GGAGAAGATATCCAGATCTAAGGTCAAATCATAATCCCTGGAGAATATATCCAGATCTAAGGTCAAATCATACACCCAGTCTTTGTTGAAAACATGGACCATAGAAAAGACATCCAGGTTTATGTTTAAATTAAACATTTAGATGCCAAGATATAAATATACCTACCATAGATATTCTTTTTTTTCATACTGGCATGTTTTATTTTTAACATCTAACATTGTAGGGTTTGCTTCAAGTGTTGAACCTAAATTTAGAACAGTCCTACTTCTGAAACATAAAGCATACAAAACACGTTGATGACATTATTACACACACACAAACATAAACATGTCTAGTAGTTACACCCAGCAATCAAGTTCAGCATTGGCAACATAGATATCATATTATAGACTGAATTTTGAAACAGACAACAAAAGCCATGGAAATGCTTTAACAGTTTTTAAAGATACAGTACAATTCTCGCGAAAGCTTTGGCTTCACTTCAGCGTCAGCTTCGCTTCAGCATCGCATCGTTATGGCTTCATCGTCACATCAATGTCGCGACATTAGGCGGTTATCGCTTTGCTTCATTGTGGCCTCATTATGACGACATTGTGGCATCAGCATCGCTTGATCAAACTACTGAAAATTTTCTTGTTTTCATAGATCACGGTTACTAGTTTAGTAACCATGCCTAGATGTTGAACAACCGTCAAAAGTTCAAATACTTTTTGTTTTAACTATCTATAATTATATGCACACAATCTGACCCTTTGACCTAGATTTGGCTGGGATTGAATATTTTAGACAATATTCCGACGTGACGCACTGCTACAAAATGTCTTTCAACATAAGTATGACATGGTTGTCTGGGTTTCTTTTCCTGGTTGTGTTGAGTTTACGATTTGTATAATTATTGTTGTCCCCCCCCCCCACCAAGGAGAAGACAAGCCGAAGGACCATGAAGCTAAATAGAAGTCCCACTGGGTGAAAGAAAATATTTCTAAGGCTAAAATAAAACCTAATATTACACCTCTTTGTGTAGTTGTCAATTTTGCATATATTTGGTATGACAGTATGTTCGTAAATATCTAGAAAAATCTCGTCTTACATTAATAATTTCATTTGTTTGAAATGACTACCGACCATGTCCCAATACTTTGTTTGGAATATCGATTTCCGTGGGTTTCTCCAAACGGTCCTGACGTCCGTCATTCAACACAATCAGCATTTATTTATCGTAATTCATGGGGATCTTGTCCCGTAATTTGAGAGCTGTAAAACCAAATAATGAAACAAGTACTATTTATTATATTTTTTTTATATACCTCACCTTGAAATAAAACAAATTCGAAGAGCATCGGGGGATATATTAACCAGTCTTAACAGTCACTAGCTTTATTTTATTCGAATCCATAAAATTCATGTGTTTTTCGACATATGTTGGCAACTTCCGCTGGTTGAAAATGTGGGTGTGGTTCTCTCGCAAAGTCCTATTGATAATACAGACAAATATGGTTCTGTGACCCAGGTCGTGCTCCGATCAGGTGACTGTCAGCCAATCAATGATGTTGTAACAAAGCATATTTGACACAAATTGAAGAGTCGTCGTACCATCCAATCTCCGGCGTCGATTCACATAGTTTTTTGTTGGGAAATAAGATAAACCAGACTGGGTCGATGATTTTTAGTATCAAAGGACTTCCGTGTGAATCATGATTTTCAAATTGTCCATCAGCTGGTCACCAAATATTTACGGCTACAACTGAATGGACACATTTTTTTCTGAAGCCCAATAAATTATTTCTACATGTCAAGCGCTTTTCAATTTTGTACAGGGCATGCGGCTCGTTTTTATTCGAGAAAATTTTTTTGTGTGAATACTTTTAAAGTACGTATAGATCGAGCTCAGGTCACTGATCGTGACTTAATTTTAAAAATTGGATGTCAAATTTTACCAGACCGACGCCACCACAACCATCCAATCATAGTTGGAAATGTATGCACTTGTTTTGGAACTTTGTATCAAGATAACTGGCGACATTGCCGACGCACCAGGCGGCGTACGTGTGTTTTGCATGTATTAGTAGTCCGAGCATGGGATCAGACTCGGCTAAAACTAAACGAAACACAGAAAAATAACACCGAAATGAGGAATCTGAATCTGTTATCTGAATCAGCAAATAAAATGAGCGAAAAAAAAGGTAATTTTATAACAAGAAGAGTTTCATTTCAAATTGTGTTGTATCCAAACGACGATTGCATCGTGTGATTTAAATTTATCACGATTTCCCTTGCAGTCAATATGACACTCGTCACTTTGCTGATTGTAATGTACTTCACAAAGTTTTTGGTGCCCAATACTCGCAACACTAAAATAATTAAACAAGATATCTTTTTAAAATGTCATTTTACTCGTATTATTTTATTCCCCTTACCACCTTGAATTTCAAATCGATTACATATCGAACTTCTGTACATGTGTTTTTCTCTACTGCCCTTCTGTGTGCAAATAATGAGGTCATACTCATGTCACAATACTTTGAAGCTGATCCCATGTTGATGCCATGAGACTGCGAAGCTGAGGCGACAATGAAGCCATGCGTAAGCGACAATGATGCCACAAAAGCCAAAGCTTTCGCGAGAACTGTACTGTATGTCCTACAGATAGAGAATATAACACTGGTTGAAAATCCCAGTGAAATAATGTACAAGATGTTTAATGTTAATAGTAACTTACCTCAACATCACCACAGCACCAGACTCGTAAGACCCAATCACTAAGTCAGGATATCCATTGTCATCAAGATCCAAGCCACCTGATAAAGAGTAACCAAATGTACGGAGAGATGAAATGGAATCTGGAAGATCAGCAGCCATTATCTTCTGTGAATAAGAGTGGTGTATACCATCCGGTCCTCCATGAAAGATATATACAGCACCTTTGCCATTGTCTTCATACGGAGCACCTACTGCGATATCTATGAGTAAAAGGGGTTCTTGTCAATGGCATGTCAAACAATTCTAACTGAATGAATAAATTAGGTTGATTGCTGGGAGGTGAGCAGTGAGTGGGTGGATGGGACAGTGAAAAAGATTAAAGTTGGATCGATGAATGAAATGAGTGATTAGCTTGCAGTATGGAAAGGTGAATAAAAGACATACTTAAGCCATACTTAAATGCTCTACAGCTACATGCATGCTATTAGAGGCCTTGTCATTTCTCAGGCATCACATTTTTTGAAGTACACTTGTACTGATGTAAAATAAGCTTAATTTTTCAGTTTTTGTACATTTTCAGCCACCTCAAATAATTATATTTGCCTATTGCAGCTGTTTCAGTTTTTCCGGTTCATACTTATTGCACTGTATACCGTATCTTTGTGTATTTACACTATGGACTAATCACAGTGGAATAATCCAGTAGTCTGTGTGTGAAACCTTGAGCATGAGAAATGCATTAATAAAAATGAAATGATCTGAATAAATCACAGAAAACAAAGCGAGTTTATAATACATGTAATATGTTTGTATGTCTAGTGATTTTGAGTATCCCAAAAGAAGTTCAAGAATTTTCAATTCACCTGTGGCTGCGACTGATTAGGAGCATTGTGTCAACACTTTGAGTATGGAAGTCAATATTAGAAAACAAAAGTTGAAAAGATTACTCTACAGTTTTCAAGTCTAATTTTGACATTTCCTTCCATCACTCAAACTAATATGAATAATACAGCAGGTAGATGTATGGTTCTTTGAAATAAATCTTACCATTGAATCCATCTAAGTTGATATCACCAAGGGAAGTTAATGACATCCCAAACATTGAATCTAATGGACCAGACAATCGTGTGGGGTTCCCCTCATCAAAATTGCCCTGGAAAAATAAATGACAAAATAAGATTACAATTAACTTATATATGATAACAGTTTTTATGTTCATGTGGGCAGTCAGAAGTAACATGTGAAATGTACGATGTATACGTAAAGATTGAACTTGATTGGCACATCAGAGATACAGCTCTAGAACAAATGTATTAAAAGAAATCTGATCTGAAAAACAAAATTTTTATAGTTCCATATTGAGCATGTATCAAGAATGATCAAAATGCATACAGGACCAAATATTGTCCCAGAATGACAGAAATTCTTGATTTTGATGAATTTTCAACATTGAAATGACTACCATTCAACCATCTTAAATGTGATTGTTGAATGAATGAATAAATGTGCATGATGTATACAAGTTCAAATGTAGGCAAACTTTGCTGGATCTACTCACCGTTTGGTCATTCATGTAAACATACACTAGACCACCAATCCCTTCCTCTTTGTCATAATACAAAGGGGCACCAACAACTAAATCATCAAATCTGGTGGTGAGAAAATATTTTTTTTTTTTTGATTAATGAAAGCTCTAGAAAGTTTAAAAAATTCATTCCTGTTGTTTCTACAATGTACTTGGTAATCATTTATCTTAACTTTTTTCAAAACCAGTCCCCGTTTATAATCTGCACAAATATTCCAGAAATATTGCAGAATATAAGAAAAATGTATATAAAAATTTGGGCAAGAGAGTCTGGTGGTTAAAAGATTAAGGTAATTGTGCTACCGTAATTATGTTATATTGTGTATTGAATGTTTTTGTTTATCTGAGTGGAGGAGACGTGAAATTATGAAAATATGCATTAACACCACACTATCATTCCAGGCAAAGAAAACAACAAACCTACACACAAGTATTGTTAAAATTGGTAATTATGCTGCCATAGCATTACAAAGTTCCAATCACCATTTAACTAATCAGTATATTATTATTATTGCAAAATGAATATGGGATGGGATTTTCCTCTGAATCAAATTAATGTCAATAAGACCACTGCAAGTCTGTTAAATTGCCCACTTCCAACTTTCTTTAAATCAATATGGCTGCCAATAATTGATCAATTTTGAAAGTCACACAAATCCCTGTCATCATGAAGAAATTTATACATTCCGTTCAGCAGTTCTCTCATACAGGTATGACAAAATCATGAAAAAAAATCAGAATAACAATGGGGCTTGGACCCCTAATAAAATAAATCCCACCCATCATTATTGATATCCAGAGCTTTGACATCATAACCGAATGAAGAGGCCAGTCTCTCAGCATATATGGCATCTTTGGCAACGAGGACATCATCACCTTTTGCGAATAAGACAACTGCTCCACTTGAGTTGTGTCTGGGTGCACCCGCAACATACCATGTTTCGCCACTTGTAATGAAATTACCGGAATCAACAGAGAAACCTGAAAGAGTTGAACTTTATAATTATAATCTGCATTATCAGACCAAGCATCTGTAATGATCAATGATAATGAAACACTATCTTGTTGGATTTACCTGCCACTCACAGGTTTTTGACATGTGCGCATATTTTAGCGCATACAGCAGTGTCAAAATCTGTCAACAATTATCCATTTTAGCATAAGTCAACAGTATGTAAAATTCTTTTGGTTTACTGTCAATCTGTACTTTGATAACACCAATAAAATAAAAGGCCATTTTAGCAGCGACCATAATGAAAACACAGATTTTAAGTAAAAAACTACAAAAAATATTGTAAATTGTTTAATAATTCGTGACATCAAAAAATACCTTGTAAAGACAGATTTTATTTCATCATACATCACTTCATAATATTTCGAGTTATTGTGATACATTCTTAGCATAGAAAACGGAAAGAAAGTGCCCTAAGACAGGCAAAATATACTATTTTTACTGTATTTTACTGATCAATTTCCTGAGTACTGACCAGATTAAGGCAACTTCAAATTTTCATTTCATTTTCTTCTTTGTAACATGATATATCACAAATATGTAACATAAAGATGTGACAAAATTACTTTAATTAAATCTGTGCAATGTTTTACCTGAAGGCAAAAGTGATGGGACATTGTCTGACAAAGTAAACCATGGTTACAGGTTTGCCAAAATATAAAAACTCTTCAAACTCTTAATTATAAACTAAATTTCTGATCAATTTTTAGAAGTTGACTGTATATGATTTGTAGTTCTGATGGTAAAAACAACAATTTGCTATTTATTATAAAGTAATAAGTGAGGTAATATGTGAACGTCTGAAGCAAAAATCCAACAATTTCATAATAATTTTTGAATTTCTTTTTTTTATATATAGCTCAATGCTATTGTTCCAGAAAAAAAAATATCCTTACTTCATCAAAATTAAGTGGGGAAATACTTCAAAAGTAATTTTGTGTTTGTTGAACCCCATATCATGATGTTTTGAAATCACTATGTCATGTTTTTATGTACACTTTCTCACACAATGCAGGATCTTGCAGTGAACTGAAAATGGTCTATTAAAAGTAAACCTGATAATCTAAACTAATTTGAACAATCTTAAAAAAAAACATCAAGTGATATTTTAAGATTTAATCAACATTATAAATAAAAATAGTTGTTGCTATTTGATCTGATCATTTCTGACTCTGGAATTCTAAAAATTAGTTTGGTCAGCTTTGTCAATTGCATATTTAATAAAAAATAACTATAGCAGAAATAAATTAATTATAGAGAACATTTGCAAGCTGAAAGAGCAATTATTATTATAATAACATTAATTTAAAACAAGCATTGACAATGCTCAGTCCCTGTTCTGTATTTAATGTTGAATGCCATCACTAGCAGTAATCCAGTATCGTGGGAATACACTTGTTAAATAGTACTGTAATGCTATCAGTCATTGTTGGCAATGAGCTGTAATCAAAATCCAATATGTAGAATCTTTGTACTGAGTTTGAATGAAATCAAGCAAGCCATATTAGAAAAAACAGTTGTTAAAATGACATACACTTGTAACCCAATATGATCAGCATATAAAGCCGTGTTTATCTGGAAGAAATGATTCTAGAAATATTTACAGGATTTGATTTTTTGACAAAATGACCGTCAATTCACAAAATACTTGCAGTATATGCAAACTTTCATCTGAATCAGACAATGTGTTTGTGAGGAATCAGCATGCCCATAAATAAAAAACAAAATGACTGCCATCAGTCGGCCACTTTTGTTTGAATCTCCCAAATAATACGACCTGCAATGACCCAATATGCATGATCATGATACAAAGTTTGAATAAAATGGCCCTGTTCGTCTCTGAGGACCATTTAATTACCAGAATTTAGCAATTTGAGGACCAAAATGGCCGCCAGTGAGCTATACTTGATTAAATGGTAATGAAAATTAAAGTGCAAATGTAAGTCATTGTACATGGTATGTGTGGTAAGTTTGAATGTGATCGATCACTGCATGTTTGAAATGTACAGATGGACAGAGGCCCAAATTAATAGTTCCTGATTTCGAACTTCATTTGAAACAAGGACTAAAAATATTTAACAAAATTATTGAACCTTGGCAAATGGTGATGCACTTTTCTGAAATTTTTGAGTTAAATTTTGTATCATTTTGGCATCCAAGAATTGATCAATTTAAAATCAATCTTAATTTGTGAAAAGTGATGAAATGTTGATGGCATTAGAAGAGTTAAACATCGTACTGTACTAAACCTGACATCTCTTGTTCTTGAATTTGTTAAATTAGTTACCAACAAGATAAATTGATTTCCTTCTTAAACAAAATATTTAGTTTGTATTCAAGTTGTAAAGTAGCAATATATATATCAAAATGACAGCTTTAGAATAAATGACTTCATAAACATACAAAATTAAAACATCTACCACTAGGTGGCGCTATAATGTAAAAGACGAAACCTGATAGAACTGCGTACTAAAGATTTCGGAGAAATTGTACCAGTTTACAGGTGATTACATAGGAGACATGTTTGGTTTCTTGAAGGTATTCATTTTACATAGTTATCCAAGAAATGTTCAATATACAGAGTACTTCACTTTGAAGAAGTATTGTGATTTACAGGTGTGCAGTTTACAGAGGTGTTTGGTTTCTCAAAATGTTCAGTTTACAGAGGTATTCAGGTATGCAGATTACAAAGATTTTTGATAACAGAGACTTAGAAGGGACTGGGAAAGGAGTTTGGTGAAAGACAGGTTTCTCTGGATAAACTTTCAATTATTTGCATGAATAGAATATACGCCCATATTCAATTTTATTTCTATTTTTAAACAGATTTCAGAAGTTGGTGGAGAGGTAACTCACCCAGGTAACTATGTTTCTGAACTCTAGCCTCCTCTTCAGTCCGACCGCTTTTATACACGACTGGGTCGGGAAACTCATCATCGGATGCATCATTGGTGAAAATGACACCTCTCCAGTCCATAGAACCAGGCGTTCCAATTATGATATCTTTGCGATTCTACAAAGTAGAGAATTAAAGACTAGAAAATAAATGTCTTTTACATACAACAAGAACAACTGAGTTAGTATTCACAGTGCAAAATAAATTCCATTTCAAGTACAACTTTCAGAGAACATTAATAGATTGCTGCATGCTCTTTTTAAGAAGATTACAATTTTATCTGTGCAAACTAATAAGTTAACTACAATCTTTGCAGAAACGGTGGATCAGTAGTACTACTGGTAAGTATTTCTGAGAGATAGTTTATGAATAGTATGAATAGCTGGACTGAAATATTAACTTCACTGGGTTTAAATTTCGCCGATTTAGCATTTCAGGGATATTCAGTGGGTTTTAAATTCACGGTTTTGTCATTTAAATAATATGTTCTATGCTAAATTTTACATATTCACTGGGTTTTAATTTAGCGCATTTTCCAGTCAGCGAAATAAGCAAAATTAAAACCCAGTGAATAAATAACCTATTTACAGTATTCTTGTTTGTGCTTGATGCAAATGCTAGTGATTTCACATTGAAAGGAAGCTATTAAACAAATGGATGACAATCATGGATTACTGAATGCCAACTTGTACTACTGGAAGAGTAACAATACTTACAGTTGTAAAGTCACAGTCTGTACCAGCTTGACAGAAGCCATAATTTTCATGTCCTGGTGTTCTACCTTCACACACTGTCCATGTTCCTCCATTTATATGGTCTATATCTAGCTCTAAGGCTGAATTCAATTGGTAGCATTTACCAACACCATATATGTAATCATCCCCTACTTGTTTATATCGATGTGCACATGCCTGTAACAAGAATAAACATTCAGTATACACAAATCCTACAGCCTCATAGCACTTTCCCTTCTCAGCAACAAAGTCATTGCTTTGTGTAGTGATTGACATGGTTCCGATGAAATACAACACAATTTTTATCACAAGTGATAGCTATATAGTTACTATGACTCCAGTAACTACATGTATATGGAAGCCCTGCATTTATTAACTGAACATCGTGATTTGATTGGTTGAATTATTAATCTGTGCATGCATTTTAAATGGGGAAGAGGGGGAGAAAACAAAACCACACAAGACTGAGGTTTGAAGTTAAATGGTGAACTTAAATGTGTTAATGCACCTAATTCAGCACACTGAAATTTGTGGTATAGCTAAATAATGTCTGAATACTTCGACATACCAGTAGGTTGATATGATAGTCTATTATGATGAAACACATTCATAAATCTAATAGTTTGCATTTGGCTGTGATTCACAGGAAAAGGTTCGTGCAATTGCAAATGTGTTTGTGGGTGCTTAGCTGAGTTAGTGGAATCATTATTATGATAAGTTCTTGGGTGACGTAATGAATAAAATGCATATACAATAAGCAAATGAGAATGTCACAGCCTAAGCTTCTCTGTTCTTGTGGAAAACATTTCCAGTTCCACACTGAACAAAATGAATGTAACATGTGTGAGTCGATAGTCTATAGATTGGATCATGACACAGATACTGCTTTTTTTCTGATGAAATGTACTTGTAGAGTTATGAATACAATATCCTTGGGTGCGGAATTACATCACAGGACGTTTCACGTTGCTAAGACGTGCACCACTGTACCACGTATTTCTATGGGCTCTGCAACAACAGGAACTCAACTTTGAAGTAAACCTGAACAATCAAATTTATATGCGTTACATGTGCAGGGGTAATCTTGTTACACTGTTCAGGGGAGTCTCAACAACCATTCTAAAGTACCATTTTCTGAGAGTTTTCGGCCTTTGTTTTCACCGTGATGGTTGCCATGCAGTGAAAATGCCCGGATGTCTGCCCCTGAGGATATATACATACTGTAACCCATAAATTCAGCTGTCGGAGGTCCCCACTGCAGCATAAGTACTTACCACAACTTTACCATCTTTTCCCTGACTTCTAACTGTCACTCCTAGCCACTGATCACTCTTTTCTTCTCCAATGTCATTACCTAATACAAATAGACAACCAAGTCAACATGGCATGCCAGGTTACATATCCCAATATTTCATATTCAGCAATGACAAGTCTCTGTACAATTTTTAGTGTTTTTTCAATAATTATTTACACTACTGTGATAGACAGGACAGTGGAACGATTTGTTTATTGTGCCCATGACATTCATAATGCTTTTCTAGCACATCTTGAATTTCTAAAACACATGGATGTGCAAAGTTTGAACATAATCAGTTTAGTCGTGTTAGCAATATGACTCCAAAAAACAACATTCATTAAAAACAATATGGCCATCAGTTAGCCATTTTGAATCAAATCAAATTCACCAAGAACCCATTGTGTTTAATGAACATACCAGCATTAAATGAAATTTGTTCATACATGTACATGGCTGAAATCCTGTTATGTAATGACAGAAATGCATGATTTTGACGAATTTTTAGCCCTAAAATAGCCGCAATTCAGCTACATGTACCTTGGATAATGAAATAAATACATGTGCTTATATGCAAGATATGATGTGTGATGTATAAGTTTTAATGAAAACAGCCCAGGCATGTCTCACTCTGAGATACAAATGCATCATAAATCCTGCGAAATATTTGGTTACCCCGGTATGTATTATTCCTATCACAAAACAGTACTACTAAATTTTGATGGAAGAACAACATTTGCAAGATGAAATTTTCGGCGATGATTTTGACTGGGTCATGAATTGTACTCATCATAAGTCATGTCCACTAGCAATATAACGGCATCATATTGTATTAGAATATCATTCAAATAGACAACTTTCTTTGGCTGTGTAGTTTAAAATATAGCAAATCTAATATGTAGCAGGCAATGCCTGGCGAGCAAGTACAGCCGAGTAGTTTATCAATTTACTAATAATAGAACTGACATAACTCTAGAACATTAAAGCACATAAACAGCAGGATTCAAGTTATTAGTTCACACGCGAGTTGAGCGTAATTCAAGATGGCGCCATGCACGGTTCGTGTGTCGCCAATAAAAATACCCGAAACACTATTCAAAGTTCAACTTTTTTGTTTGTTGCCAGATAACGAGTGACTCATCATTGAATAGCATTCTGAAGATGCTAGATGTATATCATGAAGGAGCTGTCTTGCTTCGCATAATTTGTGAAATAAACAAAATGGCAATGAGTACTGACCAGAAGTGCATAGTTTTTTAACTTTTCTTAAAGTATATCGATATCTTCCATATTCTTATATATACATGTATATAAAATACATTACATATGTTATCTTAAGAGTGGGCTTTGGCCACTCTCGCTTCGCTTGCTATAAAAAAATATCACCATATTTGCACATAAAAGTTCATAATTTAATGATCTTCTCTTGAAGATGCACTTTTAATGCAGTAAACACATGTATGGTGTTTTTATTGACAGATCTATCACCCCGATTCACACACCAAAAAAATATTGTGGTTGTGTACACTGTCTTTATATACATTTTTCTAGAGGGCACAACATATTGGAAAGATGTGTATTGTGCAAGTGAAATATATGTATGTACATGTACTAACACCATTTTTAATTCCAAACATATCACCCACAATATCATCCACATTTACTGCCTCAATCACAATCAATGGTATAGTATTTAACCCAGTCTTACCTTCTGTATCTATCTCTAACAACTCACAATCATCAGTATAAGAGTTTAGTGGACATTTAAAAACACCGCCGCCTTGCAGAATCCCAGGCTGGTTTGTCTGTAATTTAGGAGCGCCAACTAATAATCTGAAAGATATATCAACGGCTTAAATTGAGTGATTTATGTACAGGATTGAGAAAAATGCATGTAAATGTATTAGAACACAGATTATTAGATTTATAAAAGAGTTGATTTGCATCTACTGTTGGAAATCACATTAACAGGTTAACTCTGCGTCAATCAGGACCACTTCAGAGAAATATGATTTGTCTCAGATTTGAGCTCTGAACTGAAAACTAAACTACGTTTGTATAAGATACTACATTCCGGTAAAAGAATGTCAGGTCTGACTAGGTCTATGACACCTGTCTATGTAAATTTATTTTATAAAACCATGACTAAATGTAATATGAGGTTTTGCTACGTCTACTTAGTAGGGTTTGTTTGCAAACACTGTACTTCAATCATAAATTGATTGAATTCAGATGTCAACATGTTGAACTCATCTACATGTATGCAACCATATTGATATTATACAGGTATATCAAACATATACATTTGTATTAATTAAGCATATGGTATCCATAGTATACAGACTCCCTAGTGCTTACCAGAACATTATCTTCTCATCTGGTTACATGTACATGTATGTGCAAATTTGAATTTGGACAATTTCACTTGTAATAAGAACCAATATCTAACAAACAAGGTGAATAGGATTATTGTTTCTCTGATTAAGGGAAACGTTTAGTAAGTTGGTTTTGTAACTCTAGTCAAGTACACATATAGTTTTATTGAGGCCATGATAAGTATTATATTATTTCATATCATTTTTTGTGTGTGTTCAGTATGTACAACTCGTGCTGGTGGTTATAGGATTCTATAAGCTTCATTTTTGTAAAGATCGATTTTGAATGACCCTTGACCTCTTCAAGTGCATTAAGTTACATTAGGCATACAAGTAGATCCAGTGGCAAGGAATGTCTACTTTGCAACATCTATGGTCTACTGACTGTTCCAGGTTCGGTAAGAAGGTGCAAGCCCGGGGTATGAGGGCACAGTGTCCCCGTTTCCCTTTCTGGAAGAACCCCTGATAAATACTGATGATATATATCTGGTTGAAAATACTCGCACTTAATGACAACTGAAAACTGGTTTAACATGGTGCCACAGACCATGGAGGCAAATATACATGTACATCCATGGTCAAAGAAAATCAGAAAATACTGTAGCAGTGAACATTTTGTTGTATAGAACCTTTAAGACAGCGAGTAAGTAATTTTTTCAGTTGTGACTGGGATTTTAAGACAGCGAGTCCAATGACTTTTACCAAATGTTGTTCTCATGAAAGCCCACAACAATGATTAAATTGTGTAAATTGATGCATACATGTACATGTATAATGTATGATGCAATTTGATTGGTTTACAGTTCAAAACAATAACCAGTAAGAATGAGCACTAACTGCTATAAACACAGTAAATATTCGTTAGTTTTTAATTTTGCTATTTTCATCAAAAAGAATTATTCACTAAATTAAATCCATGTGAACATGTAAAACAACAAACAACATTGTTTCCTCTGCCAAGTTCAAATGCATTGAAATTGCTCTAAGTATCAAAAAAGTAAAATTAAATACCAGTGAAAATAAATGGTTATACAGTACATGTACCTATAAACTACATGTACATGTTCAATGCATCAAACCCGCATTTTTAATGCCTCAAATGAATTCTACTGCACAAATCTTTGAAAGGCTGCCCGCCCAACAACTTATTTATAGAGTACAAAATAGATTTGTTATTTTCATAGCTCTTAGGTAATTTTATATTGATTTTATATATTATATTCCCCAAAGTACACAAAAGCAGCAACTTTGATGACTCCCATCAATAATGTTGATTAAAATTCCCTACTCAGCCTAGAATTTAATCTTGAGTGTTTCCTAAGAAATGTCCTCGCCTGCAGCAAAGTAATCACACATGAAGTACTTTCCTTAATGTCACTCAACGTATTTGTCAGATTTCATTTATTTTAATGCAATTTCCTGAGCAAATCACGGTCTAGACAGGCGACAACAACTGCACTTTATACATCAATATCCATACAGATAGCTAGCAAGTTATCTTAATGGGTTTAAAGAGCTCAGATCTAAAGGAAATAAACCAAACACGATAGTAGGAAGTACGCAAAAGACAAATATTTAAGGAGACATTTCTCTTCCACAATGATCTTTAGAATTTTTTTTGTACATATTCAGTACTTTGTTAGAAAACATTTACTTAACAGAAGAGTTCCATACACAATTCACAAGCAATATAATGGCATGGAACATTGGTATCTGAAGAGGCATGGTATGGTCTACTTCTCTATATGTTCATAGTATGGCGATTGGAATTAAAGAGTAACATATGTGAAATATGGACATTTGCATAATACTTTAACATAATAATACAGCCTATACATTTTATATCTGCACACATTTTTTTTTTCAATTTATACAAATGAGAGTAAAAAAATAAATATCCACATTTCAGTTGATTTGATGTTTGATGTAGGAATATTGACTGGTTTGGGAAGGAATCAAATATGCATTGTACACATGTAATTAGATTAACCAGGTTTCAATTTAACAGAAAAAAACATTGAATAATTAATTCTTTACAAAATAAGAGTAAATTTTACATGTAAATGATATGCAATGGAAATTGCTTCATTAATGATGGTCCATATGTTGGAAAGATAAACCAATTTTTAAACATGAAGGTCAAAATATTCAAATAATGTAGTGAAAGATTTTATACCCGACAACAATGTTTGGATAAATGTGCATTATTAATTAATCACAATTTCGAAACACGCATGCACATAATTTGCAACATTAATATATAACTTGCGGTACAGGTTGTCAGACAGAGCCTGCAGAAAGCTTTAAAGTCTCAATTCAATATTCCAGTCAATACTTAATAGTGAACAAACCAACAAATTCTGTGAGAATAAACTTTGCCGTCGAAAAGTCTGCTGTAGAAGGTGCAGGGCATATATACATGTATAAACACAGGAGAATTACAGGCAATTTAAGTTGAACTGACTCGGCGGCATTTTCTGATCGTACCAAGATTTCTCAAGAGTCGAAAGGTTCAATCTTCTCGGCTTTATTACATTTTGAGACCTATAACCCTTAGAAGCATTACGTTTTAACCGAGAGCTCCCCTTACATGATGACAAAATGATCCCGGTAAATATATCATGCCAATGAGAATCGATTTCCTGGATTACAAAAAACGTAATTAGATAACCAATCATTATATCCAATCTACAGTTCATCAGATTCTGACAAAATTACATTAGACTGAACGTTTTAATTGAAAGTACATGTACTAGGCAGTTACGTAATTTGTGGAGTCAGCAGTTACAAGGCACCAAGTTGTGATCACAGACAAGTCTCTGATTATTCTTTATGATTCTTGTAGAAAACATGACAAGTAATAACAGATACTAACAGTATGTTTCAATTCCTGGGTATTGATACCATGTTTTTGTACAATACAGGTATGTGGTTCTAAGGGCCGTTGTTAATGGAAATGTACACACAGTAAATGTAACTGCTCAAGTCGTGCATTTCCCTTTAAAATAAGGGCAACTGCAAGAAGAGATGTTGACTTTAATTAACCAGCAATTATTTTTTTATGTATTTTAATATAATTTCTTTGTTAATTTGTTAAAAAAACTGCATTTTTCGCATTCTCATGTTCCCTTTCCTTGCATTCTACAATAACAAAGTACTCCTGTTTAAACAAATGAGGCAATTTTTTTATCAATATCTCCAAAAATATACGAGCCAGCCACAACAAACTTGAACTATACCAATAGTGTACATAGGTTACAAAATATCAAAATTTGAGAAAGGTTGAACCAAAAAAGCCACATGAAGTGTTAAAGATGGTGACAACAACAGAAATGGCAAATACCCATCAGCATTGTAACCCCTACTTTATTATTATTATGAGAAGAGTAAAAAAATAAGGAGGTTTATTTTAGGGCAAGAAAACATGTTCAAACAAGAACAAGCCATTATGTTTATTCCATTCTGATGGACTTAACCAATGTTATGATACAAAGAAATGCACTACATTGTAATTTGTATCAATTACTGTTTCCAATATCAGACCAGTATGCATTCATTCATGCAGATGAAAAATAAAAGAGAAAATATGGTACGGTATGTTGAACTGTCACGTATTTTAAAAAATCTATTAGCGATAGTAATTATTAAATGCCATATGGTCAGAAGTTGATTTGTTTAGTCGTTTATCATATTGTGATATTTTTACTCCCATCTATTACTGCCCTTCATGGCTTCATACTGAATTAATTCTTGGTCAAGATATCACACTTGAACTTTAAACACATCAATCATAGACATAACTGACAAGGTTTTAATAAATTGTAATTAAGTATTGTAAGTATGCAAGCACTGAATGTTATTGATTGTTAACTTCACTTTCTTATTTAGGAATGTCACAATAACGAGCGAGGGTAACCAGAACAGTAGATGCAGTACAAGAAGCTTCTCCCCATCCTTTTTACTGGCTGATCCCTTCAGATCTTAAATGCTGTATCTAAAAACATGATTTGCAAAATTT